GTCACAAATGCCATCATAAACACGATCCTCTTTATTATTATCATCATCATCATCATTGCCAACAATACTATCCTCACGATTGCCAGGCCATCATTGCGGGACAACTAGTAAAAAGGAATAGCATTGCCAGGCTGCCCGGTCATGAAGAAGATTGGGTGATAGGCTCTGGAAGAGGAAATTCGGCCAGGCGAGGGCACGCAGGCACATAAAGTCCCGACCTCCAATGCCAGCCTAGGCTGCACCATCCTCCACACTTTGCACTGCCTCCCTCAGGACTACACTTGACCAAAACGTGTTCAAGCTTAAAAAACACCTTCCCTACATACAAGTTCGCACGCAGCCACAAACGCTTTGTCCGCTAGTCACCTCGACCAGTCTTATTATGAAATTCCTATCACTACTCTGTCGAAAAGAATCTGGTCTACCGGCATGCTCTACAGCATCGTTATAACTTTACATTTCCTCTCCATTTTTTACTCCCTGTCTTTGCATTTTCCCTTCGCTCTCTCCCCTCCTGTTGTTCCACTCTTTTTCCTCTTCCTCTCTCTCTCCTTCCCACTTTTATTCTATCTCTTCGAATTTTTTTTCCCTCAAATATTGCTCTACTTCTTCATCTCTTTTTCACTTCTATTCGTCTTCCTCTCTCTTATTTTCCATTATCATTACATTTTCTTCCCTTTCCCATTCATGCTCTCTCTCTATATATATACATATATATATATATATATCTTTCTCTCATACTAAATCTTCTTTTCACTTCCCTTCCATTTCCTTATTCCACTAATTTTTCACTCGCACATTCCACCACCTCTTCATCTAATTTCCCATTTCATTCTCTATCCCACACTCTCTTCAGAGCACGGTCATGATCTGATTGACTGCAACTATTGGGAATTGAAGTTGACTATGCATGTTCATACAGACATGTTCGTTTTGGCAGTCGGTCGGTCTACGGACCTCCCACCTGTAAATGGCGCCTCATTTCTGTGGGGCTTGACTAATGCCCGAAATACGTGTCAGTAGAATGATGGCAGACATACGAGGCTCTAGCATGTATTTTATGGAGAAAGATAAACGTGTAAATACAGGCCGGCTTGCTTGGCTCTCTTCCACTTGGCGTAGATACGAACGATCTTCCGTTTGGGTGATCGTTCGGTGGAACTGATAGGTGAATTTACGACCCCTCAAATGGTCATCTCAGTCCGGCATTAGCTAACCGGCGTTAGCAACCAGTCTATGATGAGGTCATCAGGTTACCGCGTGAACAATTAAAGCATGCCACACGTATATGGTTATAAATATATGTCTGCACATGTATTTGCGTATGTGTCTGTGCCTGAAAATGGGGGCGCTGTAGCGTATGTTAGGCCTCAAAAAGCCCACGTCAGCACACCTATGATCACCTGGACAACTCGAGATGGTGTGAAAACGGCACTCGTCTCCGACCCCACCTGAGCCAGCCTTCCCCACCTTGTCGCCCGGTAGGCGTTGCTGCGACGGCGGACAGTGCTCCGTTTAATTATCGCTGGGCTTGACAGTCGAAAAGCCTTTATGAAAAGTGGTGCATGGATTAAACACGGGCGAAACGGTCCCGATTGCTGTTGGCCGCGCTCGGTTCGTGGTACTGTCGACATCAGACAGACGATCGGACATACTCTCCCACTTCCCTGGTCGGTTGGGACAACTCTAGTCTTTGCCAGCGGCCGTCTTTCTGAGTCCAAGTCCGAATCAGAATCAGGGGCCGAGGCGGCTCGGCCTATCGCCTGCATAGTCTGGTCTGATCTAGGTTACTCCAACTGAAAATATGGCCCCCGTATTGACGCATGAATTGGAAAATCGACTCCTTTTCGTTTGTAATTAAGCTTTCGAGACTACCAGCACATATTCATCATATTTCCTGTATGGTGATAAGGGGACTGGTAGTTGAATTTTCCCAAAAGGATATTAGTA